AATTAGCACAGAAACAGTACTATATAACATTTTAGACACATTCTAGACAGTTTATCAGCTAAAAAAAGTTAATTTTGGGGTAAGTTACTCTTTAAATACCTCTGAATTAACCTGAAATCCTGCCCAGGGCTCCAACTTGTCTCAGGCCGGTTCCGCTGCTGCTGAAGGTGTCGTTAACTTTAATGTAAATTTGTCCTTTTCCATCTTCTGTCAGCTTGATGAGGAAACCTTTGATCAGCTGCTGGTTTCTCCAAAAACAGAAGTGATTGTTTGTTAGAGCTCGGGGGATCCCATTAACCTTTAAAAAGCTTTTGTACTTTTCTAAAGCGTGGTCCTGGTGCTGCTGACTGAGGCTCTGATAAGCTCTTTTCTGTCGTTTTTATTTTTTTATCAATATGTCAAGCTATTTTAGAGAATCTGCATGCTGATGAGCTCAAGTTGTTGTTGGGTTTTAGATTCTTTGTTGTAAGATTTATTTTGTCTTAAAATGCATCGTTTGGAAGTGTTGCTTGGAGAACTTCTGCAGGAGGTCTGTGCTCAGTGGTTCAGGTTTAAAAGGTGCAAACAGAACGGTCTCTTTTAGACCACTCCTATGCGTGACGATGAATTGCTCCAAATATTAAATGATCTGTAACTCAGTTAGTTTTCCAGATATTGAGCTAAAAGTCATTAACTCGAGCTCCTGCAGTAATGTGTGAAAAGCTGATTTTTATGGCTCGAACCGATTCAGCTGTCATTTCTCTACGTGTGATTTTTGTTTAATAATCTGATATGAACATGAGTGGGTGACATAAATACTTTTATTCTTGGACCTGTTTTTATTCCTGACCTGCTCGGTGCTAATAGGGTCACTTGACAAGTCGAATGCACGAGCGTATCATCACAGCATGAGCTGATATACGTTTTTATTTTCATTTTCTTCTCGCACTCCCAACAGGGGATGGCAGTCCAATCGCTTTTACTTTGCCATTAAGGCAAAAACCATTTTGACAGAGTTATTAAGAAACGCTGTTTGGCCTGTTTACCTCAAACAGGAAGGAGGAGGGAAAAGATTTTTTTAATCATTAAGTCAATCTCCTACCCTATAATTCATAGAAGTCATTAAAAGACTATTTTTATTCTCCACTTTAGAGCTTTATAACGGTGAGTTCTGCTTCAGGCATGGAAGTGATTGATTGGCTGACATATTTCAGCTCGAGGAAACAGAAAGGGCTGTTTTTGTTTATTTTCAGCAGAAACTACCTGTAGTGAGTCTGAATGAACCTGGATCAAAAACCCTCAATATTTACTGCAGAAACTGTAGTTTTCTGCTTACTTCACTTAAGTTTAACAAGCTTCTGATTGTCTTATCACATCATTTAAGCTGCTTGGATATTTGGCTGATATTTTAGTTTTCTGTCTGCTGCACCTTAAAGCAATTCTACAATATTGGTGTGTTGCAAACACATACTGACACAAACTTTTTTGAATAAAGAAAATGTTCTCAACAAAAATGGCTGACATGCACTGACAGGTGTTCCTTAGAATTTACAGTTCAACATGATGTCAAGCATAAATATTAAATATAAAACATTACTGTGAAGCAGACAGCTTTAGTTAGGTTAGGCTGTTTCTTTTTCTCTTTAGCCAGTTTATGAAAAATATCTGTAAATGACATTATAAATTATAATTCAGTATAGATAAACCTAATTTAACACCGCCAAAAATGATAAAAAGCGCCAACTTGATCTGGCTTTTCTCATAATACAGGTTTTTTATGTCAACCATTTTTGTTGAGAGAGTTTTCTTTATTTAAAACAGTTTGTGTCTAATAAAGTAGGTGAGCAGCCTAAGCATGCTAGTCGCTAGCATCTCCAATGCTAACGCCAGCTTATCCATGCTAGTCGCCAGCCTCTCCGATGCTAACACACAAATGAATAGTCTCCTCATTTACCAGCTAAGGCCTCTCAGTTGCCAGCTGCTCACTTAGCAGTGTAGGAATTACTTAATGAAATCAGGACCAGCCTATTTTCATAAATGTAATCCAGGATCTTGCAAGAAATGAAATCAGATATAATGAAACACCCCTCTGATCATGAATGAGAAAAGAACTTGTGGTCTTGTCAGATCTCTCAAATAAAGTAATTTATTTTAGATATATGACCAGAACACAAGTTCTTTTCTCATTCATGATCAGAGGGGTGTTTCATTATATCTGATTTCATTTCTTGCAAGATCCTGGATTACATTTATGAAAATAGGCTGGTCCTGATTTCATTAAGTAATCCCTACAATTTTGGTGGAGAATGCAAAGGGCAAGAAATGCTAATTAGATATGAAATATGAATCTGTTTATGAATCTGAAAAAATAAAAAAAATTTTTTCACGTTGGCATGAGTTTTTTTTTTACAGTGTAAAACGGCTTTGCTGAGTGTTCAGAATACAGTGTCAGGAGCTGCAGACCTGATTC